TTCTCATTAATTTTAGATTTTAAGAAAAAAATTAGCAAGCACCCGTGTAATACACGTATAATAATAATACCAATTTGCACATCTATACTTATATTAAAAGTCATCCTATTTACCAAAAATAGTAGCAAGAAAAGTCAACTCACATTTAATGCATACTTTATTTAGAAATTTTTTACTATATGCATTAATTGCTTGCATATATACATTTCCTATTCAAATATGATCAAAAAGATTCTTTCCTTAAATAATTTTATTGACTTCTGCAATGATTTTACTCATATATATATTATAATTCATATTTGTCGATAGTAATTTTTAATTTTTATTTGAGTATATAAAAAACAAATATTTTTTTAAATTAATATTTTATTTATCATTTAAGACATAATGATCACATCATTAAATGATATTACTGATGCCTAGATAATAAATTAAAATACATTAATTAATCTTTAAAATTTTGGCATGTTATTTATTTGTATCTATACTTATTATATAAGGTATCCTATTTACCAAATTTAGTAGATTGAAAAGTCAACGTAATTAATGCATTGCTATTTCTATCCAAAATTTTATTTAATTATTTTAGTTATTTGTCTTATATCCCATAAAATCAGTTTAATAAAAAATATCCCAAAACATCTGACAAGTAAAAAAAAAGATGTAAAATCTTTACTAAAATAATAATACTTTATTTATTTGTCTTATTCCATATTAACATCGATTTTGTCAAAATAAATCTCATAAAATCAGTGAAGTCAAAATTTGTACGTAAAGTCTATCTATCAAAAAAAAAGTGAGATTCAAAATTCCTTATCTAATTTTTTTTTCTTATCTAATTCCTTCTTTTCCTTATCTAATTCCTTTTAATTATCTAATTGTATGAAAATCTGTTATGATTTTGTTCAATCCTCTAATTGTATTTGTATTATATTCCATAAAATCGATTTAACAAAAAAAATCTCACAACATCCGATAAGTAAAAAAACAAAATACGTAAAATCTTTACTAAAATAAAAAGGCTTTATTTATTATCTAATTTATTATCTAATTGTATGGAAATTTGTTTTGATTTTATGGTACGTACCAAATTGTGCACCCGTGTTCAAGAGCTACTTAACGGGCAAGCTCTGTGGAAATAACTCATTTAGTGCTTCTGTCCCGTGCATACGGTGTGTATTTTTATTACACATACTAGAAAATTGTACACCCCGTGTATCGCACGGGCTCTGTACTAATAAATGACCTTAAAATTGTGCACCTCGTGCATCACCCGTGTTCACATTTTGGCCTATTACAGGTCACGTACTATATATATCCCGTACATTTTTTTATTCATTTATATAATTATAAGAATGAATAAATGACCTCAAAGTTGTGCACCTCATGCATCACACGGGCCCTGTACTAGTCTATACTTATATTAAAAGGAAACCTATTTACTAAATATAGTAGGTAGAAAAATCAACTTTAATTAATGAACTTCTAATTTTATCAAGTAGTAATTAAAGCATTTATAATTTTAATCAAGTTTCCTATTTTACATATGGGTAAAGTCCACTTTTGGTCCTCCATGTTTAGGGGGTATCCAGACTGAGTCCCCATTATTTTTTGCTGCCCAATTTTAGTCCTTAAAACAAAAAAATATAGTCCCTATTATGTTTTGGTGCCCAATTTTAGTCTTTAAAACAAAAAATGTAGTCCCTATTATGTTTTGGTGCCCAATTTTAGTCCTTAAAACAAAAAAATGTAGTCCCTATTATGTTTTCGTGCCCAATTTTAGTTCTTAAAACAAATAAATATAGTCCCTATTATGTTTGGGTGCCCAATTTTAGTCCTAAAAATAAAAAAAAAATGTAGTCCATATTATGTTTTGGTGCCCAATTTTAGTCATAAAAACCAAAAAATGTAGTCCATTAACCTCAATTTATGTGAATTAACGGTCCATTTTTGTTAATAACATCAAAACAGTTGCGTAAAATAATTTAAAACATCGAAAGATGTAATCAAATTTCAAAGGAACAAATTATTGAGGCACTGGCCATGGACAAAATTGTCATTTACGCAAACCACCTCTCGAACGAGTTCTTCAAGCAGTTCCCCAACTGCCGGACGTAGGACGACCCAGGAGGCTCGTCAGGGAAATGCCCAAGGCACTAGAAAATGAGCCGGACCCACTCACGGACGAGTGGATGGATTGTTGTGTGCAGGGTATGTAATATAAATATATAATTTTATTATTTAATATTTAATAATTAATAATTGTGCAATGAATGTATCATGATTTTTATAATCAGGTCAATAATTTGTTCCTTTGAAATTTGATTACATCTTTTTGATGTTTTAAATTATTTTACACAACTACTTTGATGTTATTAACAAAAATGGACCGTTAATTCACATAAATTGAGGTTAAGGGACTACATTTTTTAGTTTTTAGGACTAAAATTGGGCACCAAAACATAATATGGACTACATTTTTTTATTTTTAGGACTAAAATTGGGCACCCAAACATAATCTGGACTATATTTATTTGTTTTAAGGACTAAAATTGGGCACGAAAACATAATAGGGACTACATTTTTTGTTTTAAGGACTAAAATTGGGCACAAAAACATGATAGGGACTACATTTTTTGTTTTAAGGACTAAAATTGGGCACCAAAACATAATAGGGACTACATTTTTTTGTTTTAAGGACTAAAATTGGGCAGCAAAAAATAATGGGGACTCAGTCTGGATACCCCCTAAACATGGAGGACCAAAAGTGGACTTTACCCTTTACATATTGTTTTTAATCCTTCTTATCTTGACATAAAAAAATTCCATAAAATGGGGTGAGCAAAAACAATCAAAATTTTGTTTCTACAAACTACAAATCAATATTACGATTTTGAATAATACACTAACATATTATAATATATTTTTATAAAACTTATAAAAAACTATTAAAAAAACTTGGTTCGTATATTTGTATGGATATTTATATTTTTTTAATATTATCTTTGTGTTAAAAAAAACAATTTAACACTATTCTTTTTTATTATATAATAAAATAATAATTAAATATTATATGATAAACAAGAATAAATAAAACTGTTACTTTTTTCTTATATCAAGGGATAAATTTATATACTGAAATTAAAGTTTTATTAGTATAAATATTTTAGTGAGATAATATATTAATTATTTTACAAGCTAGCCCTAACATACTCATATTTAAGTTCTGGCTAAAAAACAATGCTGGTTAAAAGATATGAAAAAAAACTTATAACCTTATTATTTTTTAGACTTAACGTTGATCAAAAGAGGTAGAAAATAGATAATAACACTATTACTTTTAAGATTTAAACGGACAAGGCAGTTAAAATAACTCATTTAATATCTATGTTCCGTGCATCGCACGGGGTACGTACTAGTTATTTTTATTGACAACTTAAAAAAAATTATATTAATTACCACATTTTAGCAAAGATATTTGCTATTATTATTAGCCAAAGGCAATGCACACTTTCACCTTCCAAAGAGGGTTTTAGCTCCTCAAGAAAAAAAAAAAGCTATGCAAGCTCTTCTGCTGCCGGCAGCTCGCTCCGGCGTCGGCCGATTTCCTCCGCCGTGTAAGGAGACAGTTCACAGAGCCGTTTCGAGTAATTGCTCTCGCCCATTTGTCCACTTCGATCCTCATTCATCTCCTTCCTCGCTGAAATTAGTAGATGGATTTTCCTCTCCATACTTAATTCTCAATAATCGCGGTGTTAAAACCCTAGCCTCGGATCCCATTGCTTTTGGTTTTAGCCCCCCAAATGATGAGCCTGATAAGGACAAACTCGCTCAGGTTTCTCTCTCTCACTCTCGCTGTTTGTTTGCGTGCGTTGAGAAAAATTCTATCTTTATGGGTTTTAACGGTTTCACAGAGTCACCTGAGATTGCTAGGCTCTTGATCTTCATTTTTCTGATTTGGTTGTTTGTTTGAGCTGCAAGAGTAATTGCAGATCATTTGATCTTTGATGAACTGAAACACTTTACTTATTTTTGGCTCCCTTTCTAGTTTGATAATTTATGAAGCATTTTAAAAAAAAAAAAAATTGGGGAATCAGGTAAAGTTCTTACTAATGCAGGTAGGAGGTCAATTCAAGATTCTTGGTAATGGAAGTTCTGATTAAGTTGTTGTCCTGAAATTAACAAAAGTTCAATAAGACTAGAGGTGTAAACGAGTATGGCGGAGCTTGAGCTTCTCATACTCAAGCTCGGCTCGAGAATTTATCGTCACAAGCTAACAAGCTGATAAACAAGCCTGAGCTTGAGGTCAGCTCGCTTATCATTGTTAACGAGTCGAATCGAGACTTAACGAGTTGAGCTAAGGTAGTAATTCAGAAAATTTAATGAACCCCCTATTTCGAGCCTTAACAAGCTCGGCTCGATTGATAAACGAGTTGAGCTCACAAGCGGCTCCTTTCAAAAGACTTCACCCCTATCTAACCTAACTGTATCAATTAATTGGGTGAAGTTCAAGGGCCATCCCAGAAATTCCCTTGTAGATATCTGTTTTTGATATGTGACTTCACAATATTTAGGTTTCGATGAGATTAGAGAAGACATCGAGGTATTTCAAGAGGTTGGGAAGCTTCGGATTTTGGGGACAGCTCGTCTCCACGATTGTAGCTGCCGTGATCCTTTCCTTTTCAACTGTTATTACTGGGAAGGTAACCTCACCAGCCACCTTTTATGCAACGGCAGGCGGCATTGCAGCTGCATTCATATCCGTCTTTTGGTCTTTCGGCTATATCCGGTTGTCCGATAAACTCCGTAAAACAGCAAATGATCCTTCGAAGGTAATAATTACGAATTTTGAGCACATCTTTCACTGCCTATGGCTTCATTTTCAGTTCAACTGGGGACAAAGGTTTGCTTCATTTAGAGAGTGGATGAGGTTTATGGACTTACCTGAGATCATTATGGAAAAGAGCTGAAAGAAAAGAACAAAACAACTAGTTTGGTGCACTGTACCTGAGTTAAACTGTGTTAGAGGTTGATATTCACTTGGCTTAAAGTATATTTCATGCCCTTGGAGTTCTTGGTTGCAACTTACACCCACCCATATGACCAATAGAAGAGAGTAAATTCATAAATTTTCAAAATCTACGCATTGACAGTTGATATAAAAACTAGAACAAGTTGTGAAGACACGGAGTTTGTGCAAGTTTGTTCAGATTCTTTATTATTAACTCGATAAAAGATTTGTGTTCTTTTTCAGGCACCTCCTCGTACGGATGTTGTGAAAAGATTGAAGAATGGCATAGTCATAAATCTATTGGGAATGTGTGCTGCTGTACTCGGTATGCAAGCAACTGTTGGCTTGCTTGTGGCAAAAGCGCTCACGAATTCGCCTAGTCCTTATTATCGGGGCATCTCTCCTGGGAACCCTTCTGTTCTTGCCTTGGATGTGTTCTTGGTCCAGGTGTTCTTCCTCAACTCATTACAATTTTATTTTTTTATTTATTTTTTTTTTTTCGCTTACACCAATATTTAATTACTGTTATTATTGGTGTGCATTTTTTAATGTTCTTTGTTGTGTCTGTTTGATGAATTTCAAAATAAATAAGTGTAATTATGTTTGTATTATGTTGGTTTGCAGGCATCTGCAAACACCATACTTTCGCATTTTCTGGGGCTCATGTGCTCCTTGGAGCTACTGCGTTCAGTCACATTATCACCTACCGGACCTTCTCACATTTCCAAGGTTGCCTGAGCTCTTCTTGCATTGTAAGTTTTACGGTAGAAGCAGATTTTGAAATGGAGCTGTTCACAATCACAAGCTGTCTTGAGTGTTTTTCCGTTTTCCTCGATAAATCGCCATTTGATTTGTATTTAGCAGGATAATGTACAATGTAGTTCATTGTTTCTGTATGTGTTTTTCCTGCGTTAAATATTGTGGTTCACTGTGCTTCAACTAGGGTTGCTCGAGTCAAGTCGAGCGTGGATCTTGTCGGGCGCAGATCGAACTTTTTTCTTCACTGCTCGAACTCGAGCTCGATGAGCCATGTAAAATGGTGCACGACTCAACTCGTGAAGGAAATAAGAATGCTCGAGCTTTACTCGATGTGCGAGATTGACTAGATGCTCCACATGGCTCAAGTCGGCTCAAAATTTTAACAACTCAATTTTAAATAGAGATACTATTTTTAATCTAAATAGACAATTTTGCCTTTAGCGTTCTAATATTGATAATTAAATTATATGGGGTATTATGTAATTAAAAACTCGAGCAACTCATCAAGCTTACAAGCCTCTTGAAATGGTACTCGAGGCTCAACTCATTTGCTCGAATGAACTGCTTGAGCTCGAGTTTGACCGAACGTGATCCACTCGACTCAACTCGTTTGCAGTCCACAATCACTCAATTCAAACTCTTGCTTCACTACCCATCAAGTATAATCTTTTTAAATTGAGGAATAGAGTAATTAGTTGCACATGTTATAGTTCTACCCATAAAATAGGACTGAAGAAATTTTTTGAAAGCCCCAAGTCTACCTCAGACCAAGACGAAAATTTAATTTCGATTCAGTTCATGTAACATAAGTTCTCTTAGCCTGATCGCCGGAAAAAAAGATCATCTGACATCAGTAAAAAAATCGTACATTGAGGGTTTGTTATTTCTATATAAACAAACTCAACAATGACAACTTGAAGCTCCCCAATTAAATCTACTATCCTCATTTGTACGAACATATCCGTGAAGCACATCCGTTGGGTTAACCGAAATGAGAAAGAAAAGTAAATAAGAAGAAGAATGTAACGTTAGAATTTTCCATAAGTCCCTTTTCCAGGAGTGATTTGCAGCCTTTCCTGAGGAGTCTCTAAACTAATCGCATACGAAGTTATATGCCAAGCCCGGTAAAAAGTACCTGCAAATTTGAGGATGTGTTAAAAGCTGTATGTGACATCTATTTCATGCACAAACTGTAAAACAACAAAACTATATCCGTAAAATGAATAGTTCGAATTTACGAATTACAAGTTCCGAACAACTGTTTCTAAACTGTACTGAACTATCATATCAAGTACACCCACAAATCTGCACAAAGGGGGCACGCACACCAAATACATACATCCAATAGAGTGAGGTTAATATTTATGTACGAGAGAGAGAGAGAGAGAGAGAGAGAGAGACAGAGAGAGGGATTACAGCAAGACTATTGGATCTTCTTCTCCTTGTTTGAATGCAACGGTATGTTGCTCAGTAACCTGTCTTCAATTTTCTTGAATTGTATCTGAGCTATTTTATATGCTGCATTCAGCTTCTCATCAATCAGGATTTGGTGCTTGTCATACAATAAGGGCAGTGACAAACAAAGAAGGACACCTATTACCACAAAAAACCACAACAACAATTATCGATAACACATATCAATCGACTAGCATGGCCATTGCAAAAAAAATTTAGACTTACCAGCGTATACCAGCGTGAGAAAGTCAATTAAACCTCCAATGCAGGAAATAACCGATAAACCTATTGCAAGCTAACAACAACAACAACAACAACACAAGTACATTAAACCCTTCCAATCGGTCACAAACACAATCGAGACTCATTAAAGCAAGTATATCAAACTTACCTGAATGAAAAGCCTCAAGTTTCCACCAATTGCAATGTCGTGTGCAATAGACAATACTTGATTCACCCAGACTCGAACCTCATCAGCTGCCTTCACGACAATTTCTTCAGAAAGCTCGAGATTGGGAACGGGAGGAGGTGGTCTAAATTCATGGGAACAGTCCATTTGACAATGTTTAGCAGAAAAATCGAGAAATCACAAACCGTAAGCTTTAAAATCCACCAAATATGTCAAACCCAGAAAAGCCCAATACAATAAATCGAAAAGTATGCTACAGCAATACCATAATGAACATCTCATAAGGATATATTGTTTGTAAATCAATGTACCTACTAAGGAGGGAAGCAGATTTAGCCCAGAAGAACAAGATCACCACAGAGAAGAACAACGAATTGGACACGAAGGACATGAAACTGTGTCCAGATCTCACGAATACGAACCACAAAGAAGTCGAAGAGACCAGCAAAACGAGACTCCGGTGCCATTTTCTCCATAGAAACAGATCAGCAACTGCAATACGAAAAAAAGGGGGGAAATGGTTTACAGTTATCAATCGATTTAACGATCGGCAAAGATTAATGGTGGGAGTCGAAGGATATGGCATAAATGGATCGGTACAGTTAATTCGAGCGATAAGGATTGCAATTAAAGTACCTGCGCCGCCACCGAGGGCTTGATGAACAGAGCATTGACGAGGTTCGTCCATGGCGGCTGTGGATTGTGAAGGCGGAGATACTACTGAGCAGGACTGCCGTTGTTTGCGGGGGAGATCTCGTGAGAAAAAAAAAGTTGGCAACTGATACGTTTTCTTAGGTCTGGATGGATTTTATCTGTTTATCTTCAAAAGCATTTTTCGTGATGAAAAGGTTATGTTTAAAAAAAAAAAAAAATCATTATTTAAGCATATAACGTACTTTTAAATAATTGAATTTGAAACTAATATTGTATGCATACTATTGAACTAGTATGAGTCTCATACAGGGCACAGATACTGTAGTATGATAAAAATAAAGAATCTCGAGGAATCATATGTAAAATTAATGATATAGTCGGATAGGAATGCTACAGTCCCGTTACGGCATCATTCCGTTGGGATTTGCAACCGTTTGATCTAACGGTTATAAATCTCGACGGAATGATTTCGTAACGAGACTGTAGAATCGTTGAGTCAAGACTGAAAAAGTTTCAAAATAGTATATAATTTTCTGAGTACTTTTAATTTTTTATACCATTTTGGCCAAAAGTGAGTAATTTTGAAACCCGATTAAGTTGTAAAATTTGTGACCAAAACCAATTAAGTTGAAAACTCGAATATGTGAAAAAACTTGCCATTTGGTGCCGAAACAACAATTTGGTTATCCGGTGTTTCAGGGTTTAAGCATCTTCCATGCATGCTGTGGCTTGATTCTATTAAGAATGTAATAGACAAGTAGACAACGCTTTCAAGATGCAACGATTTGATAGCATGTGAAATAAAACAGCACATAGTTCAAGCAACATCTGGAGCCAATTAACCGAGGCGATAGCTTGATTATCATAGCACAGTTGTAAAATTGACTCGGTCATCACAAACTATCATGCTAAAAGAAGCTTTATAAGCAAAGGTGGTTTGAATAAACAGGAACTTTCCATTCAGTATGACTGATGATAACCCAAATCCAAACACGAGGCCAATTTTTTCTCAGTCGATCGCTCAAAACAAACAGGAATTTTCACGAACAAACTCGATCATATCACTAGGTTTCCACATTATCCATGTCTCCATCCTCATCTGAAGATTGTTGTTCCTTCTGATGGTCTTGTTCACCTGCAGCATCCGATTTGCCCGTTTTTGCTCTCTTTTTCTGTTTTTTCTTCTGTCGTTTTAGGCGCTTTTTCGCCGTGCGTTCCTCGGCTGCTTTTAGTCTTTCTTCCCTTCTTTGGTTGAATTCAGCTACTTCTTTCCTTTTCTGGAAGTCAGCATCCATCCTCATCAGCCGGTCTTGCTCTTTTCGTCTCATTTGACGATACTGTATATCCATCAATACCACAATAACAAACTCGGTTGACGTATTAAATTACAATTGAATAAAATGAAAATAACAAACTCAGTTAGACATATGCTAGCTAAAATAACAGTCATACCCACTAACAGAATCATACATTCATATTTCATACTAACATGCACCTAAAATAAACAGTTCAAATTTATATGTTGAGGGTCAACTCTTGCATTAGGGCAACTAGAATAACTAAATGAAACAACAAAGAGATGATGAATATGGAATCCCAAGCATGGGACAATGGCTATCCTTCAAGAGGCTAATGACTACAAAAGCTTAAGAGAATAAAAAAACTGAAGTATATTCTCAACATATAGCTCAAGCATAAAGGTAAACAGAACGGATATTTATTCAAGAAAATATCCCGCAGTATGCTAGCAGCCACAAATTCTTGTGTGAGGCAATCGTTAATTAGACGGGTCGACCCATCATACTTTTTGAACAAAATTGCAGAAAAATGTCATACTTTTGTTTATGTTGTTATCTAAAGTATGTCATTTGTGTATAAAAGTATTACATATTTGTGAAAAATTGTAACTTGGCAGCAACCTTACCGGCTAGCAACACACTTCCATGGTATGACACAACATTGTTCTATAAAGGCTATTAATAATATGAGAACTTTCCTAAAAGAGTAAAAGTAAAACAAAATTTAAATTGCTGAACATCGTTCGTGTTCCAATGACCCCCGATCCTCCTTCTCTAGTCAATCTTCCGATAGTCCTTTTGATTCGTGCTTCTTTCGCTCGAGATTAGTTTCTCCAAGAAAAAAAGTACTCGATTATTCTCTACAACACAATATCTACCAGGGTTGTTACATGAAACATATATTGATGCTAAAAAGAAAAATTTTCTATAGGCTAGGATCATTACAATGGACTACAGCTATGATTATCTTGATCGATCTTACAAAGCAAATGGAACTGCTACATTGTTGCTAAGTACAAAATACTCTGAAGCACATATAATCTCATATCAAATTAGCAACATTATGTTCGATTTTAAGCTCATGAAGATGTTTTCAATAATGTCACCCCATTACAGCTTAACTTACTAACCAGTAACCACAATTAATCAAGGAAAATGCAAATTCCAATCAGCTAAAATACCAAATAGAAAAACAACATTTGCCCTAATTCTCAGTAATAACTACTTAAAAAGTGAGAGTAACATTTCACGGACACAAATGGCTATTAGTACCTGATGAAAATCGCCTGAGCCAGAGCCGGCGGAGCTGCCAGAGGTGTTGCTGACGCGAACAGGGACGCACTCAATAATCCGTCGGAGCTTAATTTCAAGGTCCTCGTCCTCGGGGTTGGCG